CAGATCTATTTGTACATTTTCATGTGTTTTAGGAGTAAAAACTAAAAATGTTAAAATAACTAAAGCTGGGTAATCGTAGTGCAGGAAAAATGACAATTTCTCCTTCTGAATTGTAGCGGTGTAAAAGTATAAAGTGGAATGAGAAGAAAACACTCAAGTAAAGTACAAGAAGTTTAGATCTGTAGGTAAATTCCAGCTGTCGGACTCAGTTTAAATGCTGATAGCTCATATCGTCCTGTGCACACCATTAATATTAAACTTAAATAATTAATGCCCTGCGGTCTGCTGGGGCCTGTCGGCTGCGTCTCTGAGTGCTGGATGATGATGTCACTGTCTCATCGGTTCGACTGTCGTTGCCTGCGGGGTCCTCGATGCTCCTCCTTTATCTCTTCCCAAACTATCATCGACCTTTTTCACAGCAGACATCTCGACTCGTTCCAGGAAGTGCTGCTGATTACACTAATGATGGCTCTGCTCTATTCAGTGAGCCCAATGCACAATGCCAGGACCCTGAAACTGAAGCAGCTAAATGGAATTCAGCTGTGATTATGTTTATTAACACCACCAAAAAGTTTATGATGTTCTGATCAGTTCTGCTGCAGAAGAAAGAGAAGGATTTTTGTGTTTGTCAGTGCTTATTGAAGTACATCTCTTTCACTTTAATACCATTTTATGATTATACATGTGATTGTTGACCTAATAAGCCATCATTTAAGAATGACTGGGGTTTATAAATTTGCTCACAGACACAATGGAAACAACGTTTTGATCACTAATTGGATTAGGAATATTTGTGGGAAGTACAATGTGCTGTTCTGAACAAAGAGGGACTACTTTTGAGAGTTAGTTAGTCAGAAGTTAGTTAATGGCTGTCACAGATTTGATAAATTACTGTGCAATATCTATTTAAAGATATACATTTTTACTGATTTTGGCTGATTTTTGCAGTTATAAATAAGTAGATTTTTAAATTGTCATTAACTTGATAGCTGTACAGTAAATTGAGAACCGATGATTACAATGAGAAGTTGAGGTTGAGCAGAATCTGTACAAATATACTCTCTGCAAGCTTCTCTCACATCATTATTATTATTCATTCTGTATAATGTTGTTATTCAGTCTCATGGTGCATCTGATGGCTCGTTTGAAAATGTTTCAGTTTAATTGTCTGAACTGTGGAGAGACTAACAGCTAATATGTCTGAGTGCAATTACAAACAGCTGACCACTAGGTGGAGCTGTAGGATGTGTTACATGTGATACAAGACAGTTAAACTCATGATGAAGCTTTATACTAACAGACGAATACAGTTTGTGTTTTTTCTCTGTGACATTGAACTTCTTGGATTTCTGTTTTGGCCTTTTGACATTTAATATTTTATCCCATAAACTTTAATACACACAATTATTGAAATGGGCTCATAAATTATTACACGTGAAAAAGAAACGATAGATGTATTACTCAGATAGAGGTAGAAATGTCTCAGTATCTGTTTTACCTTTAAACACTTACCTACACAAACCTTAATGAATATGTTTCAGTTGTGGTTTTTAAATTATTTCATGATTTCATTTATTTTTGACAATCTGTGATTCATTGAGAGAGAAGCGTGTACATAATGTCAGTCAGTGAACAAAAGAGAGTTTGGGTGGTGATATATATTTTTCAAGGTTTACAAATAACTATTTTTAAATGCGGCATAGTACATTACACAATATTTCCAGAGAGCAAAATAAATATATTGCACTTAAAAATCATCAAAACACAATCTCGTTCGGTGTCATAGTCATATTATGGCATACAAAAGAAAACTTTTTTTTTTAGAAAGAGGTTATTTTCAGTGGTAAGTTGGGACTGTGCGTATGGTTCAGAAGAAGAAAAAAAAAGTGTTTTACATTTAAGCTGAAATCAAAATTCAGTTCATTTGTACGCACCTTTCAAACAAGTTCAGGTTGCACATCAGTAAAGGACAGAAATTGATTTCCAAAGCAAAGAAAAAAGGTCAGAATACAAGATTTCTTGACTTTCCTCAATGAACAGCTGATCAAATGAACTGCTTGCACATGAATGATGTACAAGGGGTCAGAACAGAACATTAATGTCCACATTTCACTGCTTCATGTGCTGTAAAGTCAAACTGGGACATTTTAACAGTGTTTGTGTTACCAGCTCCTGTTTCACCTTTATTTGAAATCCTGCCTCCACAGAGCCGCATTAAAAAAAAGGTGTCTTCATCATCTGTTACAAACACCTAAATCAACGTAACGTTCTACTTTTGGTGCATCCAAACGCTGCTTTCATGATGCAAGAAGCTGGAATGTTTGTGCATAAAACATGACGGCTTCACAGCAAAAACATCTCCATCACAACCATTTAGTCATTTAGTCAATTATTGTGTCTTTAAAAGTCATAGTTCCCCCTGTGGGAAGATTATTGGAAGCTGTTTCCAGTAATAATGCAACAAATCACTGTCTCTATCATGAAAGGCAGAATTGAAAACTGAAACTGAATCAATCAGCCAATGAATCCATTGATCAGTCAACAAAAAAATAATCAGCAGGTATTTTGGTTAATGATTCATTGTTTCAATAATTTGCTTCTCAGATGATTTTCTGCATTTCTATGTGATAATTGATAGTAAACTGAATTTTCTGGGTTTTTGGACTGATGGTTGCTAGAAACAAGTGATTTTAATTTGTTATGTTCAGCTCTTGTTCAGAAATTATAATCAGTATTTCTAAAAATGTGACATTTTACAGACAGACTATATATAGTATAAAGAATTATCAATAAGTGTGTTGCAACCCCACAATAACTTTACACAACAGTTACTTGATAAGATGGAGAGTTTTTGCTGTGGAACTTATCTTCATAATCAAACATATCCTAAAACCACAGCATTATCTGCCGCTCCAGGTAGGACCACCTGCTTACTTTGTATTTCTTCACCATTTTCAAATAAATGACTGACCGCTCCGCCAGTGAGCTGCCATCTTTATGCACCTGCACCGTTACCGAGTCGCCTCCAGCAGCTTCCAGCTTCTTCCTCCATGCATGTTTTAAATGAGACGGCAGAGAGTCATTATTTCCAGGTGTGGATGCGCTGTCGACACGCACTGATGCAGCCATGAATCAGCGCGGTAGCTCCTGCTAAAGACCGACTAAACGAAAAAGGCTGCAGTCAACAGCGTGGAGACAAACTTAGTGTTTCTACACAGTGAAATATATTAAAGACCAGAGGGAACAGATGGATGAGGGCTACATTTATGGCCAGTTTCACACTCAATTAAAAAAAATATGACTAAAACTGATGATTTGAACTCAACACCTTTTGTGGTTGAATCCTTCTTAAGGCTCGGTCACACCAGAAAGTGACACAGCGAAATGTATCTGCACGACTTTGCAAAAATAGGTCAGTCACAATAAACCTCAGTTTCTTTGTACTGTGGTAGTTCACTCCCCACTGGCAGGACAAAAAGCTCTCTGAGCTTGTTAGCATGCTAATTGTCGGTTAAAAAGCTTGTTAGCTAAGTTTATTTGTATTATCAGCTCCTGTCTCATTACTGTCTGAAATCCATTCCTCTTTTGTGGAGCGGTTTACACTCCACAGGACGACGTTAAATAAAAGTGTGGAGCTAATAAGCTACGATAGCTTTCTCCACTTTGGACTCTCTGGCTCTCTTTTTCAGATGGTTTGCTATTGGTCAGTGGAGGGAAACTGCATGTCAAAGTTCACCAGTGTTACCCTACATTAAGCAGATTTACTTCTGCAAGCAGATCTGCAGATTTCATATAAATGATCTGACTTCGCTGCAAAAAATGTTGCTGTTTTAAAGGACCAGTGTGCAGGATTTAGTGGCATCCAGTGGAGTGTTTGCAGATTGCAATCAGAAGGGTTTGTCCCTTCTGGGCTACTTTATCAATAGGAGCGGTTCAACGTGGAAGGCGACCGATAGAAACAGCTCATTCTAAGGTAACAAAAACAGAACGAGTCCTACATTCAGGTGATTACACTATAGAAAACATACCTGTGGATATTATATCCAATTTCTGCCGCTAGAGTCTCCTAAATGTAACACACTGGACCTTTAAATGCTGGTGTGACCGGGCCTTTAAAGTATGCAAAAAGCCTTCACCTGTGTTGCAGGTCACCTTATTCGTCCCATAGTATTCCATATAAAGTTTACCCAGCGTGTCTGTCTACTGCGGTCAGCATGCGTCTTATGAATTTTTTTTTTTTTGCACTCTACAGTGAGAATTTTCCTTTTGAGTAAATGTTGCTTTTTCATCTTTGTACAATGCATTTTAACATGTTTTTGACATTATTTTCAACAGAGCGGGAAGTTTGAACTGTACATATGGCTGGCTGTCTAGAAAACAGAGGAAAAGCTGAGACGGCCGCTCCACCACTCTGATGTTGTTCACAGACTCAGACTGAGCCGCCGTGTCCAACCCGCTGTGGCATCAGATGAGTCATCGTTTGAAGGTGGCACTGTTGAAGGATCACACGGCAACCGGCCATCTTTAAAGCCCCGGTGGAGACCCTGTAGCCAGTAGGGACTGTTAAGCCTTTAGAGGGATACAGGGTCTTCTACATATCGTTAAAATGAGTTTACATTGAGGATTTGAGGATCCACTTTCTGTTCTTCAAGGGCCAAGACCAAACATGCTCCTTTTATCGTCTTGCATTAGGTTTTCTAGTTTGTTTTGAGGTTGTAAGTGTTTGTACAATGTCACTAAAGTGTTCATAGAGAGCGCAGGACCTGCTGATTTGTCCTCAGGTCCAATAGAGGTGCCACAGTTCTTCTTTTCTGGAATTTCTGGATCAGTATGCCACATCCTCTTCACCTCGCTCACTGCAGGTGAACTATTTACAAAGACCAGGGGGACAGATACCAACAGGATGAGGAGTGATGAGCCGGAGCGGAGGAATAACTGGTTGCACTGGATTGGGGATGAGCATCAGAGTGAGGATCGGCCGTCTCCTCCCCAGGACGGAGTCATACAAAGGGCGTCATGACCGTGGAGGAGTGGCGGAGTCCCTGGATGGCGGCATAGGGCCCCTGCTGGAAGTAGTGGTGGTAGCGGGGCATATGGAAGGACGGGAAGGACGGCCCGCTGCCCTGCATGGTTCCAGCCAGAGCGGTGGGCGTCAGCGGCATGCCCAGCCGGCTGTAGGGGGGCAGGGAGCCCTGGATGGGGTGGGGCAGGGAGGCGGCACCGGTGCCCATGGCCGACAGGGACTGTGGGTGCTGGAAGCCCGAGAAGCCCGAAGTGGTGGTGACCCAGGAGCTCAGGGAGAGGTTGTCTGAGGCGGTGAACGCTGAGCCTGCAGCAGAAACAGGGTAGGTGTAAACATCAGCAAAGCTGTCAATATTCTTTATTTTTCTTGCTATCAACAAAGACCAAAACAAACTTCCTCTTCCTCTGAGCCACAGAGCTCCATTTTCATCCAAACACACACACACACACACACACACACACAGTAGTTTATTTTGAGTTCATCCCACACACACTGTCCCGTTGGCAGAAATACTCAACAAAGCAACAAATGTGTTGATCCGCAGCTGAAAATAGTTTCTAAAAAATGCAGAAACTACACTGTCAGTATTGACTGATGGACAAACAGATTGTTGCTTTTGGTCATTTCATTTTCATTTGTTTTAACTCGAACCAGCCGTTGGTCCCACATTACTCCTGTTTCTCGCATCCCTTCATTTTGGCTTCAGGTAAAATTGGGAGGAATTGATTGATTATGAGAAAAGTCTTTTTATTAGATTCTCCTTGTTTTCTCTTCTGTCGTGTCTCTTTCGATCTATCCTTCCTCTTGTTTTATTCTTCCTTTGGTTTTTTTTTACATGCTCCCATATGTTTGTGTTTTTTGGTTGTTGTTCTGTTTGTTTATTTGGTTGTTTTGGAAGGCACTTGGTCCTGTGTGTCAAAAAAGGTGCTTATTAAACTACAGTTTCTGTTACTTCTTGTTGACCAACAGAAAAAGGACCAGTTTTTCCTACATTAGGGTTTTCTTATTTTGTTCTCTTTGTAGGACCTGTTTCATCGCTGTGTCTGTGGTGGTGCGATGCGATTGTGGTGTGACAGCCCTGGGCTCACCTCTGGGTGTGTGGCCGAGTGGTGCGGCCGTCGCTCGCTACAGGTTTCCCTCGGTCGCGCCAGCGTACCTGGTTCCGACTGCGGGCCGGGCGCGCCTACCCTCGAAGAGTTTTGCGTTGGTGGGATCAGATTCTCAGCATCTTCCCTGCAGCAAAAGCGCAGACGAGGAGGAGCCCCAAAATAAATCTCTTTTTTTCCAACATTTATTGAACTGAAACACGCACTGGTAATGGTAAAGTTAAATCGTTGGAATATGAAAAAACAATTATCAAGAATTAATATAATTCTAATTATCCGATATAACCTTCTATTCATATTGTTGATGCTCCTACATTTACCACACATTTACACTTGAAACTTGCATTTTCGTTAGTGTTGAATCAATCTTAGACTTGCCGTGTACGTTTATGTTATTTACTTTTACGCTGAAAGCCCTCATTCAGATTAAGAATGGTCTGACCACGTAACACAGATAAACAAACTATCTCTGTGTCACAAGGATCAGATTTAACACAATAAAAAACCACTTCTCTCCAATCTTTAGGAAAAAAATCTATACAACTTCTTCAATTTAAAACATTTCTTTTACTTTCTAATTTCAGAACACAATTTTTAAAATATTCAGAAATGTTGTTTTAATTACAGCGGCTTTAGTTTTTATTATTAATAAAACCAATAAGTCGACATTTCAATCCGTCTTGATGTTAACACTTGACAGAATATGATGCGTTACAGAATTTTAGGCATAACACTGTCATTTTCATTTGCATATTTCCTTGCACTTTATTAGTATTTTGTTTAATTTTCTGAAAATGTTCGGTCCACTCTGTGATGTGTAGTTTCATCATGTTTCGTCTATGTATGATTTTGGCGTGTTGTGTTGTGTGTGGAGTGTGGTGTGTGTTGGAGTATGTTCACTTAATCCCACACAGTGCATTTGCTCATTTGAGTCTTTGTCAGATGGCACTTCTCAAACACCATGACACAAGATTGTTGGTGGTAGTGATGTGTGTGTGTGCTGTCTGGTCTCCCGTGTGTGTGTGTGGTGTGTGTGGTGTGATGTTGTGTGTGTTGTGTGGTTTGTTGTGTGTGGTCGTGGAACAGGCGGCACAGGCAAGTGGTTGCTCATGAGAGCCATGCCGCTGTCCACATTAGCAGCCCCCCTGCTGCAGCGTTCGCCCCCCAATTAGGTATGAAAGTGCATATCTGTACGAGCAGAGGATACAAATTGTGGTGTTTTTATCGGTCGGGCCCCTCCGGCACAGAGGGGCCACAGGCAAACTGCCCACCCCCCCCCCCCCCCCCCCCCCGCGCTCCCGCCCCACACCCTCCCGCCCCGCAGGCGACCTGTCGCCCCCCCGGTCTGCACAGCCCGGCCCCCCCCAACGACCCCGTCGGCTCCCCGGCTCGGCACCGCCGCAGTACCCCGCGCCGGTCTCCGTCGCGCGCCGCCCGCTCGCCACGTGCCGCTGCAGACGCCACACGGTACGGTGTCAACCTCCCAGCAAGCCTCCGCTCCCCCTCCTCTCTCTCCCTTCCTTTCCCCTTGTCCTCCCACCCCGACCCCCTCTTCCTGAGCCCCCCCGAGCTCCCATCCTCACTCACCCCCCACCACCCCACACCACCACCCCCGTCCGTTCTCTTTTCGGCGCTTCTCCCAAACCTCCGGGTCCTCAAGTGACTGGCAGAGGCAGTTGTGCAGTGAGGCCAGGCCAGAGGACGAGGTGGGTTTTGAATCCGCAGTGTATTGAGGGTCGGGGCAATGCTGGTATGGCAAATCAGTCACCCTGTCGAGTCCAATTGATGATAGTAATCACCAGGTGTGTTTTATGTGGGGCATTTGTTTTGGTCCGGACTCCGGTTATTCTATTGTGATTTTCTTGCAGTCATTCCGGACAGACCGTTCAAGGGGTTGTACATCATTGAGTCTATATGTTACCACCAGCTCCCCTCAAAAGATCGAGAGTGTGTTCAATTGGCCTCAGTAAATGTGTGAGGGAAGGATGGGAAAAGGATTGATTAAATGGGGAGGAAGTTTTTTAATAAGTTCCTTTTTTCTTTCTGTTGCTTTTTTCCATCGTATTCCTTTGTTTTTTTTGTGTTGTTGTGTTTTAAGCCCTCACCTAGTTGTCTTTTGTTCTGTTGTCTAGTGGAGACGGGGTGGTTGTCCCTGGCTGTGTGTTTTCAAGGACACAAGACTCTGGCGTTTCGGGATGTTCTGATTGAAAGGGATAAAATATGGGGCATGGAATGGTTTGATTTTGCTTCTGGCGTTGTTTATGGGGCCCAGTTTTATGTGCCTCAAGGTGTCAGAGTGTAATTTACGTGTATATATGTTTTGTAGACCTTTTCATCGCTGTGTCTGTGTTGTGAAGTGATGTGGTGTGTGTGTGGCAGACGTCCATTAAGTAAAATCCCTTCGTTGGAATGTGTTGTGTCGTCCTAATCGTCTGTTATGAGCGTGTGGTGGTTGTGTTGTGTGTGTGTGGTGGTGTGTGTGAGTATGTGTGTGTGTGTGGGAGGCCTCGGGTGTTATGGATCGAGTGCACTTGGTAGATGTGGTCTCCACTTAATAGCTATAAAACAGAGATGTAAGAAACTAAAATGTAGTACTTGTGTTTGAGATTGATACATAGCAACAAAGGAAAGAATGAA